CACCTGTTTCTCTTGCATTGTGCTGGGGCACCTGACAAGTACTGCATAGCTGCAACTCCAGCAGTCCAGACCTCCTTCAGGGTGAAATGCATTCGCACAGAGCCATGTCATGCTGTGTGTAGCTTTGAGTGGCTCTCCCTTCAAAAAATGTAGTATTCCAAACACATGCCTGTTTTCTCCATTACTGTGTGTTTCTAGCCTCCCCCATGTATATACATCTCTTGATCCCATTCATCCATCCTGCACTTGAAAGCAAATTACCTCAGTTGTCTGACTTCCGTCTGCAGGGAAGTTTGAGCTAGTCGGTAGCAGCATCTGCCCATTTTGTTCTTTGGGAAGGCAGGGTTTTTTAAAGGAAGATTCCTCCATGTTATGGCTGGTCTTTTGTACAGCTGTCTTTCTTCTGTGCATCCACAGGGACTGCTTCTTTCAGCCTGCCCTGGCAAGATATTGTCAGTTCTTTCCCTCCTGGACATGTTTCTCCTCATGGAGATTAATGGTCCTTGAGAACGTGGTGTGTTAGCCGTGGTGGAGCAGGAACCACCTCTGCACTCTAATCCCATTCACTGGAGTGTAGAGTCCTGGTAACAGCTGCAGCTGTTTATGCAGAAAAGAGTATAAAGAAAATTATTTCATCAGAAAATTTTCAAGCTTTTGGAAAAGACCTAATCCCCTTGTTGTATCTTACTTGTCCTGTAGTGTCCCATCTCATCTGTTCAGCTCTTTTCTTTTCTTGAGCTTTGGCCATGATTTATTCACACATTCACTTTTATGGGGTGATTGGTACTTCTCTTTGTCAGATGTGACAAGGTGAGACCATATCAGCTCCCAAATTCACTCATGGCTGGTTCAGTGGCCACATGCAATAAACAGTGAGGTAGACCTTGAATTTCTCAGTCACTTGCTGATGCAAAGGATCTTCTTAAACAAAGGTGTTTGAATCTCAGATATTCTTTCTCAACACTCACTGTTGAATCACCAGATAGAGGGATGGTAGTATCTCCTATCTACACCGCAGAACTGAGAGTTCATGCAGTGGGAGGCCATGGGTGTTATCAAAACTGCAGCTTGCGCACTCCATCCCGAAGCTTTATGTCCTTGCTAAAGCTTTTTGAAAGGCTTGGGCACCAAAGACTTCGTGGAAGATAAACTGTATTATCTTATCTCCGATACAGCCTTGATAAAATACACAGAACAGCACAGTCTGTGCAGTTTGTACCATTCCTGCCCATGTTTATAGACGTGTGTTCCCAGAGCACATGCACAAGGTTCTTGTGTGAAAAATGCATGAATCTGATCTGGTATGTAATGATAAGAAAAAGAGTCTAATTCAAAAGTGTGCCTTCTCCTTAGTTTGGGGAGGATTTTCTTGGTGCTTCTGAATGCTAAATGTCAATAGGCATCGTAAGACCGTGATGTCTCAGGGAGACATTGCATCCTTCCTCTGCACTGCCATCAGATTGTCTGTATCTGTCATTCCTGGACAGAGGTTTGTGTAGACTCATCCTAGTCTTCATGTGATGCAGACTTAAATACTTCCCATATGCTTCACCATCTTCAGCATTGGAAAGATTTTCCTTGTGTCTGACCTGAATCTTCTGTCCTGTAATTAAGCCCATTACTGCTCATCCTCTCTACCACAGAAATGGACACTTTATTCCTCTCTTTTTTGCAACCTCCGCATAATAACCACAGTTTCTGTTAGTTTCAAAAAAAGTATTGGGGGAATTTGAAAATGTCCCTAGAATGTCTGCATTTTGAAGCAGAGAGAACCACAGCAGCAGATTCTGACTTTTAGAGCCTGAATTTGCAGTTCATTAATTCATTAATTCAGTGCTAATGTCAGAATTTGAAATGGATCCTAAAATCTTTTCTTTGCCAATATTTTTTTTTTTTAATTATGGTAGTAACATTTGAACTTTCACTTTTACAGGGATTAATAAATTTACAAAGAAGCTTCGAAGTCCGTATGCAATCGATAACAATGAGCTACTTGACTTTCTCTCCAGAGTTCCTTCAGATGTGCAAGTGGTGTGTATATTTTTTAAAGTGTCTGTGTGGTAGTTAATTTGATAGGTGGCATCGTGACTTTCTGGTTTTTTTAAACAAATTTTAAAGCAGTTATTTTGATTCAACTGTATATTGTTTGGCACAAAGAAATTGCAAACTCAAGCTGGGGATAGTCCATGAACCTTAAGGAGGCTGCTAGAATGTTTTCAGTGAGGAATTAGCTGCTACCTTGGCTGTGCCTTTGAAGATGCTTAGAAGCAATCAGTAAAGAGACAAATATTTGGGAGATGGTAGCGGGTGCTAGAGTTTGTATTAAGCAGCCTCCAGCACCACGCGAATCTGATTGGGATAAGGCACTGTGTAGGAAACACTGGAGCTGAGCCCATCAGGACATGCAGAGGGGGAATAGGAAGGTCGAATGATGCAAGGAGCTGCACCGACACAGAATCAGCAGCGGGCGGCATTGCCCAGTGTCTTATGACAGCACGTGGAGCACTTCAGCATTGCCTTTCCTGGGATGGAAGTTTTTCTGTGACCGCAGTTCAACCGTGCTCATAAACCCCTTTAAAAATAAGCTGGTTATGAATTACAAGCTTCTGTAATGCAGTACACAGTCTCTTGAGAAGGTACAAGCGTTAAGATAATGTCAGGCACATAAATCACCTCCAGTATCACAAAGATTATATACTTTCCTTATTTCTAGGTAACGGTTTCAGTTCAGAGCTGGTATAAATAGGAGGTACGGGTACCCACTCTGAATCTGATCCCCTCTGTGGCAGGCCTTTGAAAATAAGCAATTTTTTAAGAAACACTGCAAAGAATATTCATCCAATTAATTAAAGAATGTACTGTTTATTCTATGTTAGAGCTCATGGAGAAAACAAAAAAAAGAAGCCTTCTTAAAATTTACATCAGCACAGTGGTTTACTTCCTGGCAGGATTCTGGCTGGTTTTCCTTCTTACTCTAGATACATCGTTCTGTTGTTGTTGAATCACAGGTGCATATCCCATGTAGTTTGGAGGGGGATAGTTTTCTTTTTCTTTCTTTCTTTGCCCTGGGAAAAATTAGAAATCTTTCTTCTTCTAGCATGCACCATCTGACCAGTCTCTTTCTGAACGTTGTGTTTAAACAGGTGCAATACCATGAACTGAAACAAGATCCCAGTCACAGCCCAAGCAAGAGGAAGAAAAACAATCCTGGCTAGCCAGCTTCACATGTTGAGGAGACTAGCATCTGCTGGGGGAAGATAAAAGAAAAAGCCTACAGCCTAAGCAGCGTTTCCTTTCTCTAAGCTTTTTATTTATTTTGCCTTTATATCTAATGGGGAGGTTTTGTAAATATTGTAAAAAGGCATTTCTCATTGACTATATACTTCGCACTGTAAAGACACATTTGATGAAGGTTTCAAGTAGGGGTTTTGCCATTTGAAAGCTTTGTTAGAAACGCATAACACATTAAAGGAATCAGTCTAAAATGGTAAATGTGCACTGCGACTTGATGGTCAAAGATACCTGAAATACTCATGCCGACTAAATCTACAAAAGGTGTAAATTTAAATCTGACTCAAAAATTCAGTCAGATTTTATTTGTGAGCATTAATATTTTTATCCAGTAAGTCACCGTTACTATTTTCTATGTTTTATACATTTCAAGAGAACTACAACGTAGTGGAGCCTACTGCACTTAAGTTTTAGCAGATTTTTTTGAACTCCAGACACTGATGTTAACTCCTGGTACAACGTTTTCCTGTGCAGTAGGGCTGCTTATAAGATAATGAGAAACACCACGTGCAAATCTCCTTCTGGAGCTCCCAAAAGAAGTTCCTGCCATTTTTATCATTCCATTATAAGACCTAAAAATCTGTCTCTCTCAAAATACTGCCAGGTTTGTAACTTATTGCCTATCTGATTTTTCTATATGTACCAGTAATCTTCATTTGTACTACGTAGTTTAGTGAATGAAGCTCATAGTTCTTCTGTAATGGAAATACTATCAAACTAACTCCATATTGCTTTGGGTGTCATGCTATGAACACCTTTTGTGCACATAACTATTTTAATATGGAAATCTTGCAGAAAATGTTTTTGCTTTCAAATCACAAGATCATATTAATACACTTTATGATATAACACATTACCTGTTACCAACGTGAAATATAGTGTAGAGGAAAAAATGCAGTTGTGGTAAAACTGATATACTGGTTTTACTTTCTTAGCTAATAATGTAGTCAGTTCTTCTGATACGATTGTGCCCTACTGCATGGAAACTGCATTATTTTATGAAGTACATGGAACATAGATGAGAAACGTTTACATTTCAAATGTCTTAGTGGCCACTGCATAACGAGTACTTGGGGATATATTCTGATAGCTGCATGTAGACTTCCATGCTCAGCTCCCCGCATAGTGAGCAGAGACTTCATTCCTAAGGGACTACCTGTGCACAGCTCTTAGTCGTAGCTCCCGGTGACATTAAAGGGGATTTTTGCCTGGGGAGAACAGCAGGACTGCATCCCCGAGAGGAGCTGTTCCTGTGGTCCTCTCTGGGTTACCTCTCATTGGTTGTAATTGCTGATAAAGTTATATTGCACTACTCTAACAATACTTTTTGAAAAGACTATTTAGAAATACTTTGCAAGCAAATGTATATATATTTGTCTAAAGAATTATACGTTAGCTGCATTGCTCATGAAGGATCATCCTGGATTTGTTTGTTTTACAGATACGTGGATAGCCGGTTTCTGATGTGACAGTTATTTTGATCTTTCTGTTTGTATGTTTGAAAGAATGCCAATCAAATGACTGTTCTGCAGAAAGTCTTGGACCCAAATATGCTCTTTTTACATCACAACTTTAAAAGAATTTATTTGCAAACCTTGTGTAACCACCTTCTCGCTGTATGCTGCCTGAAGAGCAGCATACTACTGATGAAGTCAGAATCACTGATGAGCCTATGTTGTTTAAACAAAGCCAAACTTTCGACTTGACAATGTGCAAATTTGTGTTGCCAGTTGTCAGTTTTGCAGAGTTCATTGATACACTGCAAGCCTTGTACCTTCTTAATGTTGCCCATCAGTCTGCGTGCAATTTCCTGTTGTGGTTTTTTTTCTGTACTCAATTTCAAATGTCTACTTTGGTGGCAATGTCTGAGTTAGTTATACACTTTACTGCATTAAACACAGTTTTAAGCATCTCTCTACCAGGTATTAGGAAGCCTCTTTCTTTGAAGTCCTACACTATCATTTTCCCATGAGTGGTGTGAAGGGCAAGTGAATGAAAACATCATATTCCTGTGTGCAGGTCTTCAGTACTTTAAGCCCCAAAACGTGTAAGTGGAGAGGGCAGGGGGATAAAAACATCTGTTTGTTAAAAATTGGTGAACTACTTTGAATGCCTCAATCACTCAGAATTGATCTCACTGAAAATATAACACACAGAGGCAAAGCTAAGAATGCATGTTGATTAAATATGATTCTTCTGCCACAATAGGACATTTTAAAATCACATTTTAAAATAATTTGTCAGTGAACCCATCTTCAGTATTTGCAGTTTGTCTACTCTGCTTTGCCTGGAAGGCCTGTGTAGAGAATCAGTCCTGCCTTATCCCGTAAATATTTCAATATATCTTCCAGGTTGGTTCTGAATTCAGTTGCTAACCTGTTAGATTTGCCGGGTGTTATTCCTAAGAAACCTGTCCATTCATAAGCAATCACAAAAGAATAATGCATCTCATGATCATGAAACTCCTTCCGCTCTGAGAAAATAAAATTTACCAACTTTATTTGGGTCCAGTGAAGATGAGTAACTTAATTGGGGTCCACACTTACACCAGGTGTCAGAGCACTCAGGATCCATCAAGGCTAATTGTCTGGGATGTTCTAGTTACATTTCTGCTGATAACTCACAGTACAGAGCTTACCTACCCTATTTTTACACTTGTTTCTCTTTGTAGTAATGAACAACTAAGTGTTTTTCATAATAGCAATGAGCTTTAACTTGAAGAGCTACAGTACTGTAACTTAGCATTTTAAATCCAAGTGGAATAAAACCCGAGTTTTTTCTATTGCAATTAAAACAACAGTGGAATAATCAGAAAGTAATTAATTAAGCAGGCCACGTACAGTGTATCTGCTAATGTGGGTCCTAAGAGCTTAGGCTTTTTTACCAACAAGAGCTGCTGGACCTGCCAGCAAATGTACCACATGATGCTGCTGTATTTCATTCTGGGGTAGCCCAAGCACAAAGCAAAGGAGAGAAAGGAAAATTATTTCTCTTATCAGTACTAGATCACATAACCGCCACACAAAACTTGAGAAAACCTTTGCAGCTCTGTGCCCAGCAGCCAGGGATCTGCTGCTAGCCATGGAAGATGTGAGCAAGTGTAGGTCAGGTCATCAGATCAGGAGGCTGGATACTTCTTGCTGCAAGAGGTGTTAGAAGTTTTCTGCTTCTTTTGTGTCATAGTAATCAATCAAGAGAAGGCATGTTTCTCATAAACTAAGGATTTTAGATCTTAATTTAAAAAAAACATTCCATAAGCTATCACTGTGCAAAAAATGAAATAAATCTTAACTATCCATTGCACAGGACATCCTACTTCTGGATAATTTCTTTTTTCTCTGTAAGAATTTAATGCTCAAAGCCAGATTTAGCCATACTTCAAACAGGAAAAAGTCCCCATCATTGAATCTTGAGTGTCCAACTTAAATTTCTGGAAGTTTGAAATTAAGTTCTTTTACCAAAGGGACCAAGAATAGTATAGCTATGTTTTGATCTTCATCAGCCTTAGTACTGAATGAAATTTAAACGTCAAAACCTTTTTTTTATAGTTCAGGTTGCACAGTATAGAAGCCTGAAAAACTTAGTCATGATTTGCATGGTAATAAATATTTTCCCATTTTAATATAATCAAAAGAAACTTAAAACTGCTTTTCTTGTTCAGCTTTTACTTAAATTACAGCAGGTGATTAAAAGAAAAGCAAAAATGTTGATCGTTGATATATATTTTGATTAAAGAGTACTTACTAATATTTTCTGGAATAATTCACTAAGTCAATATTGCCTGATGTGCTTTATCCTGACATGAAGACACGTTCCTAGAAGTTTACTTTTTGCACATGATCTTTTTTAGGCATGTCACAAAAAAACCCGAAAGTGTTTTAGATGCACAACTGATGAAGAAAGATCCCCAGACAACAGTAGTAAAGCAAGGTCAAACACAGTGAAAAAAAACATGGTCAGATCTGTAGGGAGTGTTAAGCACTGGGCAGTTGCACGGAAGAGAAGAAGAACTGCAACACAGGAGCGTCCCATCTTTATTTAGTGCATGCCATTGCAATTGCCACAAGTACTGGAACTTTGAAAAGAAAACAAAAATATCAAACAAATGTCTTGTCATCACACCATTCCTAGATATTCCTGGAAGAAAGGAGGAAAGTCATTTAACCAAACTGTAGTGTGGTGGTTTAACACAGCTGGAACACGTTCCGGCAGAAGCTTCTCAGTTGACATCAACCCATTTTAATCTGCACTGCAGCTCCCATAGGCTGCTCTGAGCCTCTACCACCATCTTACCCCAAGGTAACTGACAAAGGGAGTGGCTTTTTGCTCAACTGGATGCTGGGAAATCTCTTTTCCAGTGGTTTTTATCACATTATAGGATTGGCCTTGGCCTCATGGTGCAGTTTACTGACCATTTCTCTCACTTGCAAAAGTTTACGTCTCAGAAAACAGCCTGCTCGGTGTGCATTTATCCTTGAGTTAGGACGTAAAGATTTTTTGCTGCCTCCTGAACAAATATGGTAACAAAGGCAAAAAAATATTTTCCTTCCCCGCAGGCTTGCTAGCCCTGGGACACATAACAAGCAGTTGGGTCGGGAGGAGCTGTTGCTCATGGGCACAAGATACCAGTTGATCAGAAGAAATGGGCCTGGAGACTAAAGCAATTCCTTCGCTCAGCATTTCTATTCCTCAGGCTGAAGCCCCATAAACACACATATTGGGGAAGGGGGCAGAGCAATGGGGAAAAGCCTGGATTGTTAAATAAAAGATTTGCTTGTAAATTGGGTAACTATCAAATGTAACTTCAGTTCTTGCAGGTTTGGGTTTTTTTAAAAGACTGGGATTTTTTTTTAAAGGAAAGAAGTCTTTCTGCACTATGTTTCTAGAAGTAAATGTCTCACTTTTAGAAGAAAGTCCAGTCACTGCAGTTTGCTGTGGCAATGTACAATTTTGAGAAGGCTGGGTGACATCTTGGGAAAAAGCTGGGGAAGAATTACAGTGGATTACGAGGCTGGAACCATCCTGTTTGT